GACCTCCATGGGTGAGTGCCGCAGGGGAAGTGGAGTCAGTGGCCTGTACCCAGGTTTCGGTGACTGCTAGGAGCTTGAGGGAGCGGGGAGATGAAGAGGTCATGGATGGCGGTAAGCTTATTGCAAACCGAACGGGCATTCAGGAGTGCAACCGAGAGAGGGGGGATAGATATGGGGAGGAGGGGTACATGTATGAGGTTGAGGGGGTGTCGCGTCGGCTGGCGTGAGCAGGGGGGGTCTCTAGGGGGGGTGTGAGGTGGTGAGGGGCCAGGGTTTGGGGAGATGTCCCCAGCTGATATGAGAAGGAGGAGGGTGAGGAAGGTGGCGTGGGAACGGGAGGTGTAGGAGCGCTTGGGTCTGAAGCAGCATGATGTGCTGCTCTGCTGTATAGTGACATGAGGTCCCATACGGTGGGCTGCAATACGCTGCAGCATATCTGCATTTTTGTCACAGCTCCAGCCTGCATTGCAGTGTGAATATGAAAACAATATGGTGACTAGGGATGATCTATATGTGCGAGTCGAACATACGTAAAATACATTAAAAATTACATTTTTTAAAAATTATCAGTCCTGCTGTAGCAGTTTCTATACATTGTACAGATGTGCAACTTTGCAGGTAGTTTAACCACTGGCCCTCCTAAGGATTGACTCCCTTTCCTGACCAGTGTGCAGGAGCTGACAGGGGAGAAAACTGTTTTGTTTAGATGCTCGGCAATCACCGGGCGCCAGCGAGTAATCACCGACTGGGACTCGGTGATTGATAGCCGCGGCTGCGAATGGCAGCCCGGGTAGGGTGCACATGCCTTGCACGTGTCTCCTACCCGGAAATGCAAAATCACATGTATATATACGTGAGTTTGCATACCCGTGCCGCCCTGTAGCAGTACTTCTGCTATAGGGCGGACGGGAAGCAGTTAAGGGGACCACCCAGGCATGATATTTAAAGGAATTTTTCATTTTTTTTTTGTACTTTAAGCAATAAAAAAGGATGCCCCTTTAAAAATGATGCTTTTTTGAATTTTTTTTTTCATTGATACATGTCCCTCAGGGCAGGAGCTGAGTCTCCATACCACTTTTATGGTCAATAACTTGCATATAAGCCTTCCAAATGGGCACTTTGAATTTACAAGTTTGAGTCCCATAGACATGCATTATGTTCGATGTTCAAGGTAGAACTTTTAGGTTCGAATGTTCAACTGCTATCCGAACAGGGGGGTGTTCAGACCAGGGGCGGACTGACCATTCAAGCACTCGGACACTGCCCGAGGGCCCGGAGTCAGTAGGGAGCCCCATGAGATGCCCCTGGTATTATTCATTGGCTTTTTTGGGTGTGGGCGAGGACGCAGGGGCCCCATGATCCCCTATTGCCCAGGGGCCCCATGAGTTGTCAGTCTGCCCCTGGTTCAGACCATCACTAGTGGTGACTTAGCGGTGACCGGCGTTTGACAGTGTAGTAAAACATCGGTCACCAAACATATTGTGAACTACACCCTAGTGGCAGAGCTGATCATTGCACTCTAATAAATGAGAATGCTTGCTGCACCAAAGTCTGTATAAACACGTGCTAACAAATGGGATTTCTGCCTGAAATGAATTTTTCATGTAACAAAATGCATGAGTTTCTCTGCATGATAATGAACAAATGTGAACAAACCCTAGGCATGAACGCTTGTCTAATTGTATTTTTGCTAAGGGCTTGTTGGTGCCTTCTGGCTCAGCCCACCATGACTTTTTACAATGATGAAAAGTTAGACACACATGTTTCATTTCTTTTCATTTTTGACCCCTTATTAACATCACACATATTTTACTTTTCCTTCGAGGGTCTGTCTGTGAGAAATACAAAGCTTTGTAGCAGTGTTACAAATAACATTTTTATGGCATGCAAATTACAGCAAAGTCTTTCATGTCCGTAAGACAATGGGCGCAATTTACGAAGGCTCACCACGAGGGGAAACAGCACTCGGGTTTAACTTATGACAAGCCTTGGAAAATCCTGGGAAATCAGTGAGCCTTTTTTACATTTCATCAGCAGATTTTTGTGGAGGAAGGATCTGATTACAGACAGGTGTTTAGCCTCAGTTTTTCAAATCCCCTTTCTTATTAAATGATTTTGCCACCTGTTTCTGTGTCCATTTTTACTATAACTGAAAAATACAATTTGGCGTGGGCCCAAGAAACAGAATATAGCTCTATGAACTATGGAGTGATGGAGGGGATTGTGAGCTCAATAAATGTGAGCTAATACAGCTGTATATGGTGTACATGTGGTCATGAGATTTCTGGCTAATACTAAACATGGAATGAATACAGGCTGAATTTTTGGTTCATTTTAGACATCATCGTCTTAAAGTGAACCCATTATTGGCCCATGATGTACAAAGCAACAGGGTCACTTTAATACAACTGCGTACACCTATCTTTGCTTCTCTTTCCTGTTGGTCCATTGGCCTGGAGAAGCAATGTGGCATACCCAGTACTTCAAGACATGGGTTAGTATATGTCTCGTTCCCCTTGCCCCCCCCCCCCCACGTGACAGTGCTAGTGATTGGTGATTGGCTGCTGAGTCCTCAGCCTGCTTAACACTTACATCATAGGGATCCACAACTGTGGATCTTCATATCTCCAAGGGGCTACACAAAGTGTAAAAGTGTACACAAAGCTACAGAAAATGGTCACAGACTGGACATTATACAGCAGATCATCAAAGACTATTGGCATGCAATAGGATATGGTCAAGGCCTGTAGACATACTACAGGCATGGTTGGAGAATAAGGACATGCTTCAGGTGACATTCAAAGACTGAGATTCCCAAGCAACATCTAGATATCCAGTCCCTGTATACTGTAAATCAGAGTCCTCTATAACTCTCTGATTCCAGATTTCTCTCAACAAGAGTCGTTATAAAATGGTTGATAGCTGGTGTAGCAATACCCCGTAAAGGAGCTGCTGGAAATTTTGGGTTCTCCTACTATTTCCAATAATAACCCTACATATAAATGGACCTAATAGTACACTGATGAACTAAGAGGAGATATGTGGGGTTTATTAACATGGGAATTATCTCTAAAGGTAAATAATAGTAAAGCAATGGTAGAAATGATAATCACAGCAATACAATGATAGCAATGCAATACGACCAGAAGATGAAATGAACTTGTAGAGAGCTTGTTCTTTTGCTGTCTGTTAGGGGCTTTGTCTCAAAAGAACTAGGCAATTAGGAAACAACACTGTAAGCAGCATTGAAACAGTACTTAATACCCACGGTGACAGGCAGATTATATGCCATTGCATAATGGTGCAGACAGTGCCTGTTTCAGCAGTGAAAGGGTGTGGAACTCATTTAAGACAGCTAGGTGTTGACAATAAAAAGGGTACCCTTGACTTAGTCTGGGGTGTAAGCAGACTAAATAGCCAGAAGGCAGAATATGCATGTTGCATCTGTGTTGTTCTGAACCCCTGAAAGGGTAAACCTTGGGTAAAGGTACTTCTGTTGATGAATAAAAGTGGGAAGGAGCCCTAAAAGGTACACTATTGAGTGGACTGAGTTCCTGGAAAGCTGAATCCCACAACAGATATAATATGAGGAGTATAGCTAACTAATGGAGCATAACGACCATCCACTAGCATTGTTATACTACATGAGTGAACAGACAATAAGGTAACTGCAACACATCCCTTGAATTTCAATATTGATACCAAAAGAGAGAAAAAAGTCACCTAACTGAACAATCAGTGACCATTCAGTACAACAATCACAGAGTTTGCTGGTGGAAAGGGCCCTTTAAATAGCGAAGCACTCAAGGTTCAAGTGAAGATACTTGTAATCCACAAAAGCAAATGTGGTTTTCCAATCCTACAATTAGCAATAGGGCGGTGAGTTTCCCCATGAAATAAGGATCCACCAATCTGTAGTATCCTCCAATTATATAAGCAATGTTGATTACACAGGTGGGTGGTCAAAGGATCCTGTCTGTCCCCTGACAACCCCTTGTAGGCCACAATGACTCAAGTGGGTTCCTCCTGTAGCCTCTCTCCAAATCTCCTCTGCAGCAGGTCTCACATGATGGGGGGAGAGGGATTACGCAAACCTGAACTCCCACTTTCCCTGATGCAGAGTGGTTCTCTCACCCCTTAGTAGCCTTTTCACATCCCCTCATTCCTTGCCTTGCATGCCTGGGTCTTCTGTTGCTGGAGGGTGGGTTTGTCCATGTGCTGCCCATGATGCCAATCACATACTTCACCTTTTTAATCTGTCCTTCACCAGTGGGGAGCATGGACTGACCCAAGGTCTTAAAATGAGCCACCAACCAGGGCTAAACTGGGAAGAAAACTGATAACAGTCAGCTGTAACTAAACACTTTCAGTGGTATATTTAAAAGAAAGACATTTTGAGATGTATTTTTGTTGTTTTAAGCTGAATCTATAACAACAAAACATCCATGACTGAATAACACATGGACCATTTGACATATCAATCATTGTATTTAGCTGTGAGGTTCTGCCACACTGCACAAAATACAAGATTTTATGGCAAAACAACAATCATTTAAGTGAATTGAGATTTTTAGGAACTATTTTTAGTTTTTAACTGCTTAAATAAAAAAAACTATGAGAAATCCATTATGGTCACTTTAGCCCAAAGTAGAACTGGGCTTTTTAGCAGACCCACATACTAATATTTTAACAGCCATATTCCTTCTTCCCCTATTTGGACCACACATTTTACATCCACCTGAGGCTCTCATTCTGTTAAGCCACTAAGTAAACTCTTTGAGAACTTAGTTGAAGATTTTTTTGCTTCAGTTCTCCATTACAGTTCTCTTTTTACTGAAGTTGCCAGACCTTTCATCACCTATTACCAGTGCATCTATAACCTTCTTAACATTAGCTGTGTCAGGAGCATCTAGTGCTCTTGATCCATCACAGCTGCTGGTCTTATTCCAGCATCCTGGTTTTGGCTATGATGCACTCTCCCTGTTTGTCTGTCCACCTGCAAGGTGATTGATGTGGTCAATCTTTGGGTGGAGACCAAACCTCATTTAAGCCAGGCAAGCCTGCAGTCTCATGCTTATGATATTGCATTTATAAGACGTGCTGCAAGTTTCCTGTTTGTCTGCCCTGCTCTGCTAGATTGGATTCCCTCGCTGACAACCTTGGATCGGATATCGACTGCTCTCTGAACTCTGCCTGCCTTTTGACTATGTATTGATCCGGAATACTCTGAACCTTGTACCTGGACTGTCATTGAACCACTCTGCCTGTCTGCCAACCACAAGTACCTGTTTGCTTTTCTTAGTTCATCATGGTAGCCAGGCACTATAGCATTGTGTATAAGTCCAAACAAGCACCAGTAGATCTGTTTGCCTTATGGGAAAGGGGGCTGCTATAGGTGAAGAACACAGAAGCCAGCTATAGTGCCTGACCACCTGCTTTAGGGGAAGGGTAGGGATGATGAGCTGTCATTTTATGACTTTAAGTTTTTTATGCAGTTCCTTTTAATTTAAGCATTAATGATTAACGTCAAAGTCTGCCACAGAACAATGTCAATCTCATTCTGAAATAACAATATTGAGGTTCAATAATATACAGTTGCAAGAAAAAGTATGTGAACCCCTTGGGATTACGTGGAGTTTTGCATGAATTGGGCATAAAATATGCTCTGAACGTCATCTAAGTCACAACAATAGAAGAACACAGTCTGCTAAACATAATACTACACAAACATTAGATGTTGCCATGGTTTAATTGCACATAACATGTAAACATTCACAGTGCAGGGAGGAAAAAGTATGTGAACCTTTGGACTTAATAACTGGTTGACCCTCCTTTGGCAGCAATAACCTCAACCAAACATTTCCTGTAGTTGCAGATCAGACCTGCACAACGATCTGGAGTCATTTTGGACCACTCCTCTTCACAAAACTGTTTCAGTGTAGCAATATTCTTGGGATGTCTGGTGTGAATCGCTCTCTTAAGGTCATGCCACAGCATTTCAATCGAGTTGAGGTCAGGACTCTGACTGGGCCACTCCAGAAGGCGTATTCTGTGCTGTTGCAGCCATTGTTTTGTTGAATTACTTGTATGCTTTGGGTCATGGTCCTGTTGCATCACTCATCCTCTGCGGAGCTTCAGTTGGCGGACAGATGGTCGTACGTTTTCCTGCAAAATGTCTTGATAAACTCTGGAATTCATTTTCGCATCCAAGACAACAATCCGTCGAATCCCTGAGGCAGCAAAGCAGCCCCAAACCATGATGCTCCCTCCGCCATGTTTTACAGTGGGGATGAGGTTTTGATGTTGGTGTGCTGTGCCTTTTTTTCTCCACACATAGTGTTGTGTGTTCTTCCCAAACAACTCAATCTTGGTTTCATCTGTCCACAGTATATTTTGCCAGTAGTGCTGTGGAACATCCAGGCGCTCTTTTGCAAACTTCAAACGAGCTGCAATATTCTTTTTGGACAGCAATGGCTTCCTCCGTGGTGTCCTCCCATGTACTCCATTCTTGTTTAATGTTTTCCTTATTGTAGATGTGTCAACAAAAATGTTAGCATGTGCCAGAGATTTCTGTAGGTCTTTAGCTGACACTCTGGGATTCTTCTTTACCTCATGCAGCATTCTGCGCTGTGCTCTTGCAGTCATTTTTACAGGACGACCACGTCTAGGGAGAGTAGCAACAGTGCTAAACTTTCTCCATTTGTAGACAGTCTGTCTTACCGTGGACACATGAACATCAAGGCTTTTGGAGATACTTTTGTAACCCTTTCCAGCTTCATGCAAGTCAACAATTCTTGATTGTAGGTCTTCTGAGAGCTCTTTTCTGCGAGGCATGGTTCACATCAGACAGTGCTTCTTGAAACCAGTAAACCTAAAACAGGTGTGTGTTTTTTTTTAATGGCAGGACAGCTGTCAGCAACACATCCAATATCATCACACTGATTGGAGTCAAGGTTGGCTCGCTCCTGGCTCCCATTAGCTCTGGGAAAAGTCATTAAGCTAGGGCCTCACATACTTTTTCCTCCCTGCACTGTGACTGTTTACATGTTATGTGCAATTAAACCATGGCAACATCTAATGTTTGTGTAGTATTATGTTCAGCAGACTGTGTTCTTCTATTGTTGTGACTTAGATGACATTCAGAGCACATTTTATGCCCAATTCATGCAAAACTCCACGTAATCCCAAGGGGTTCACATACTTTTTCTTGCAACTGTATATCTTATAGAATACTTTACTGGAAGGTTTGTAGTTTCAGGAAATAAGTAGGTGTGTATAATGCTGAGTATTTTCTGTGCAAGGAGAGATTGTACAAATTGTTGTTCCATTAAATCCCTTTGTACCTAATACTATGGAAAGAACATCCTTCACATTTTGTGTTATGAGTATAGATACATGAAGATGTGCGTAGGAAACTGCAGAGGTAACAAGGCCTTCTTCATTATTTGTATATAACGCAATGCCACTAGAATGAATATGTTAAATACACAGTAGATTCTAAGAAAAACAAGTTACACTGGGGCTCGTCATACATCTCACAAACTGATTAATCCTTTTTAGTTTCACAAACAACTACGTAGTGAGAAGGCCGCTACAATTGTGAACACATGGGTGAAGATCTTAGAATCAAACAAAACCAACATGATCCATGATATAAGATCTATGATATAAGATCGTTTTCCATCACTAGAAACTATGCATGTGTCCTTGAAAAAATGGACTTCGTTTCAAGAAACACATTGGATGAAAATCTGCACATGCAAGACTTTTGTGATGTATATAATAATGTTATAATGGATCTGTGTCTAATCTGAACCAATCTGCTTATACAGTGCCTTGAAAAAGTGTTCATACCCCTATAAATTTTCCACATTTAGTCATGTTACAACCAAAAATGTAAATGTATTTTATTTGGATTTTATGTGATAGACCAACACAAAGTGGCACATAACTGTGAAGTGGAAGGAAAATAAAAAAATGATTTTCAAAATGTTTTACAAATAAATATCTGAAATGCGTGGCGTGCATTTGTATTGAGCCTCCTTTACTCTGATACCCCTAACTACAATCTAGTGGAACCAATTGCCTTCAGAAGTCACCTAATTAGTGAATAGAATCCACCTGTGTGTAATTTAATCTCAGTATAAATACAGCTGTTCTGCGAAGCCCTCAGAGGTTTTTAGAGAACATCAGTGAACAAACAGGATCATGAAGGCCAAGGAACACACCAGAAAGGTCAGTGATAAAGTTGTGGATCAGTTTAAAGCAGGGTTAAGTTGTAACAAAATATCCCAAGCTTTGAACATCTCACGGAGCACTGTCCAATCCATCATCCGAAAATGGGAAGAGTATGGCACAACTGTAAACCTACCAAGACATGGCCGTCCACCTAAACTGACAGGCCAGGAAGGGAGAGCATTAATCAGAGAAGCAGCCAAAAGGCCCATGGTAACAGAAATCCACAGCTCTGGGGGGAGAATCTGTCCACAAGACAACTATTAGTCGTGCACTCCACAAATCTGGCCTTTATGGAAGAGTGGCAAGAAGAAAGCCATTGTTGAAAGAAAGCCATAAGAAGTCCCGTTTACAGTTTGTGAGAAGCCATGTGGGGGACACAGCAAACGTGGAAGAAGGTGCTCTGGTCAGATGAGACCAAAATTTTACTTTTTGGCCTAAAAGCAAATTGCTATGTGTGGCAGAAAACTAACACTGCACATCACCCTGAACACACCACCCCCACCGTGAAACATGGTGGTGACAGGATCATGTTGTGGGGATGCTTTCCTTCAGCAGGGACAGGGAAGCTGGTCAGAGTTGATATGAAGATTGATGGAGCCAAATACAGGGCAATCTTAAAAGAAAACCTGTTAGAGTCTGCAAAAGACTTGAGACTGGGGCAGAAGCTCACCTTCCAGCAGGACAATGACCCTAAACATACAGCCAGAGGTACAATGGAATGGTTTAAGTCAAAGCATATTCATGTGTTAGAATGGCCCAGTCCAAGTCCAGACCTAAATCCAAATGGGAATCTGTGGTAAGACTTGAAAATTGCTGCTCACAGGCACTCTCCATCCAATCTGACAGAGCTTGAGCTTGAGGGGGTGGGGGCTGAATACAAATGCACGCCACACTTTTCACATATTTATTTGTAAGAAATTTTGAAAACCATCATTATCATTTTCCTTCCACTTCACAATTATGTACAACTTTGTGTTGGTCTATCACATAAAATCCCAATAAAATACATTTACGAACTACTTTACTGAGGGAACTATCGGCGCTTTATAAATACTGTATAATAATAATAACTGTATAATAATTTACGTTTTTGGTTGAAACATGACAAAATGTGGAAAATTTCAAGCGGTACAAATACTTTTTCAAGGCACTGTATGTCCAAGCAGGGCTGCTGTTATAAACCACAGGGCCCCATACAGCCAAATTGACAGCCCCCCTCCCCCCCAAAGGGCCTGGTAAATGTGACTTATTTACTGGACCCTTACCCCACTCTCCGTCCTGAAGGATCCTATTGTATGCTTGCAGCCGCTAGAGGGAATTAGAGGAGGGAGCTCAGATGGAGGGTGATGGGTGTGGTGGGGGGCAATTACTGGAACTGATCCCCTGCATGGCTCCCTCTGTAGCTGCTGAAAGCTAGCAGGAGGGAGAGGAATGGAAGCCGGCTTTTAGCTGCAGAAGAGAAAGTTATACAGGGGATTGGTTCCAGTAATTGCTCCCCCCCCCGCCCCAGGCTGATCACCCTCCCTGCCCCCACATCTAATTCAACCAGCTGCCTGGGCCCCCCTCCTGGCCTGGGCCCCATACAGGAGGACAGGTGGTACCCCCTTATGCACAGCCCTGTGTCCAAGAGCTCTATTTTATATTAGAAAATATAAAGTCTGCCCACCCATCCCCCTCCCAGTGTTTTATTTTACATATACTTATGTCTAAGGATTAACCTATGTTTTTTCCAAGTATGTTTAAAACTACTTGCCTACTGGGCACATTTACCCCTTTCCTGCCCAGGCCAATTTTCAGCTTTCAGCCCTGTCGCACTTTGAATGACAATTGTGCTGTCATGCAACACTGTACAAAATTGTTATAATTTTTTTGAGACAGAGAGAGCTTTCTTTTGGTGGTATTTAATCATCACTGGGTTCTTTTTTTTGTGCTAAACAAATGAAAAAATACCAACACTTTTTTTTCTTAGTTTCTGTTATAAAATTTAGCAAACAGGTAATGTTTTGCCTTCACTAATGTGCTCTAATGAGGCTGCATTGATGGGCACTGATAGACTGCACTGATAGGCTTAATTG